CAACATCAAGAAAGAAACCCGCCCCAACCCCTTGAATTCTACCTTCCTGCCGGAAATGTTCTGTGACCGTGAGATGTGGTTACTCACTAAGGCTGAAGAGCGCCAGCCATCTATCACCAAGCTAGCTATGGAAAGAAGAATGTTGGGAATCTCTCTTCGCGACCAAATCCGGAATACAAGTGAAGCACCGGGCAAGAGTGAGTGTCGTTGTCATCGAAAGCAGAAAATTTAAGCTACTATGGGTCGAGCACGGATCTCGGCTCACCGACGAAAATTGGTCAGCAGTGATCGTCCACTGATACCCTCACAGGCCTACTTGGCCGCTTGGTCGCCCATTACGGATGTGGGAAGATTTTTTACGAGCCAAAACGACCGCGCTTAGAGGGAGAAGGCTGGAAACCGCGAGGAATGGCAGGCATGATGCAGCCGTCGCGGATCATCGTATATGGTTGGTCCAAGTGAACAAGTAATGTCTGTAAATTGTATGGCATATTAGGGCTTGACGCTGTTCATTCTCAGAAATATAAATTATGAAAACTGTTACTCTTGTTTTACGGGCTGATTGAATATAAGCCTTTCATTAGGTCCTACAGGCTTTTAACGTTGGATGACTCTGGTCAGAATTGACCGGTCTCGTAATTTCTGTCGATCTGTTGCCTTTACTGAAGCCAACTTCTAAACATGAAGTAAAACTGTTTCATTCTACAGGGCGAAGGTACATTATCTTAGTTAAGAGCTGATCACGCTACTAGAAGTAAAGCTTATTAAAGAGATGCAACGGTTACAAAAAGGACTCTGCGTTAAAGCGTATAAGATACGGATTCGAGTCATCACTCGGTGATTGCCTGCTGAAGATTTGCAAGGAGAAACTAAAATCATAATCATTTTGCACTCACTGAGCTTTTCGTGTGAAAGCTGAAACACGGCAGGTGTCGTCCAAAAAGTCAACATGCGCATGAAGGAATATGGTAGAGGAAGATCTGTTTTCGGAGAGGAATACGATTTCCTTCTACAATACAGTAGCCAGTGACTTGTAGCAAAAGTGGTGAAATGCAGTGAATACAGCGGACAACGCAAACCAGGGATGTTCTGCCTACAAACACCTCAAAGAGATTATCCCACAAATTCACCAGTCGTTTTCGCTGCGTACTTGCCGTTGATTATGTTTTTAGAAATTTTCAGCTTACCTCTCAGAGTCATTGTCAAATGACATTTGCTATCGTTGCATGCAGTAATTTGCTCATAGTACTTTATTTTTCTTTCTAATCTACTTGACAGCTTGCGCATGGAGCTAAAATTTAGGGTAATCTAGCTTCTCTAGGTCTTTAATCTAATGTTTCTCTGCTGCTGTTGCTGCAAGTTTAGCTCACATCAAACTTCTCCTTTAGGCTCTACGAAGATCAGCAGTACATCATCGATCGATTGAAAGAACCTGACGGAACGGTTCATTTAGCAGTAGCGATAATTATCTCGCTTATCACGTCTATCGTTCGAAGTGTTAAGGTAAAAATAAGTACCCTATTTTTATGTTGTCGTCGTTTTGCTGTTGAATTGACAATGTTCATTATGAAATATGGATGCTTACGTAAATAATATTGATTAGTTCATAACTCCTCCATGCCAAGAACCAGATGTTCTTGGATATGTAAATTAAAAGGAATGCGTGTAACCGTTGGAATTTCACTCTTCCTTGCACATTCAAGTTGGGGCCATTTCTGGCGGCCTTCTTGTCATGAAGCTAATGGTTTAATTTGATCGCCATTCCTGTACCCTTCAACAAGTAGTACCAAATAGTGTCACAAACCTATGATATATATTGAAAAGCATAGTCGAAAGCGACTATACGAATAGCATATCGGTAGTTTCCTGTTTCCTTTCCTCAAAATGGTACTCATTTATTGAACCTTAAGGAAGAAAGCAGAGTGACCTGACCCGCGCCCGAGCGTAGGACCTTTCGGTTCTGAATCCGACGGTTTATCGACTGAGCAACCCCGATTTGCAGATATATAAGACAATGTAATTGCGATGCGGCTTCATGGTATTTGAGAGTTTTCTGTGCTAATTAAGGCACCGCTGTTTTGTTACTGCGATGATTACTTCCAACGATGTTTCTGCAGCCCATGTATGCTTTCGCAAAATATGTCTGGTTTCGTTCATTGAAGCATGTTGATAAGCGCATTTTTTCAAACCAAACTGCTTTAGCCGGTAAAATGATGCGAGAATCATGCATGTTCAGCAATTGCTTCAAGTACGAAAGAGCTTTGACCTGTTCAGGTGATACTCTGTGCAGATATGATCAGATTAGCAGTGTCTAATTTCGCGAAACCCAGTTTGGAAGAGTTGTTACCCGTGTGCTCTACACTGTACATCTTCATTCTCTTTATTTATTGTTTTTTTTAAATATTGATTTGATTAACATTGTTGTTCAAATTTAAGTCGTGCGAAAGCAAGCTGAAGTTGGTACGCATGTTGAAGGATTTTTCAATGGTCGTGGAGGAGGCTGTGGTGTTCGAGCGTATTGTTCCGTACATGGTGAACAACATTACCTATTCTGTCATCCGTTATTAATTGTCCACTGCTAATTTTCCTACTTTTTCTTTTCTAGCTATCCTTTATGAACGACGTATTTGCTAAGTTGCGCGCCGAATCAATATACGCGATCACCGATGTTCTTTCTTCATTGAAGACTATTCCCAAGAGGTACAGTATTACTTCATCCGGGAATTATTTCTTAATGCTGATTTTCAAGCGACACGCAGATATTTGTAGACTACGTGTTTCCTACCATGGTATATTTATTTAACCGCGTCATTTTTTGTAGCCATTTTCTGTGTTTGAGGTGCCGCGGGTCAGCGATTCAAGTCTTATTGTGAAAATAGCTGTGGCGGCGAACCTCGGCAAGTTGGCTGAAACCGCAGTCAGGTATGTGGATAAAATTCTGAAACCTTGTGCCTTTGCAGTATTTTCTCATTAAGATTCCTTAACTATGCTGAAACACAAAAGGAGGATCCGGAATTTGTGCTCAATACCGACGGTGGTTCAAAGGTAATGAACAAAAGCATATAAATTCGCAATGAAAATGACTGTGAATGAAAACTTTCAAGTACCAAAGAATCGTTAGGTCGAAATCGAAACTTTTGAAAATTCGCATGGATTTTCTCTTTCAGTACAGTTGCTTCTTTGCTCTTACTCAAATAGACTTCCATAGTTTATATCATGTCATACCTAACAACAGTAACAGCCCTCTGACGGCAGACGGCACCATGGGTATGAGAGTTTAGCAGTTTGATGCTCAAAGTAATTTACAGAATTTTAGTAACCGATCGGCATCTCCAACAACTGTGATATTGTTCGTTGCTAAAATTTCTTGATTTATTCTATTCCTCCTCTCATTGGTACGAAAAGATTATTAGAATGTTTCACACATGTGATCGTGATTCTCAAGATGAGATTTTCAAGGCAGATTCTGTGGCAGAGGGACAAACCAGTGGCCAGGACTGGTAGACCTTGTATCATTGCACCTTTGTACCTACGTCATTAGGCTTGTGCAGTTAGTATAGGGCTGGTACCACTGGAACATCGTCTTTGAAATGCTGACTCATGACACGAAAAATATGATTTTCACTAAGGTATCTTCCCCACTGAACAGGAATTAACTTCAGAAAATGTGCAGTGATTATATGTTATTATCTGGTTTGGTCATTATGCTGCCTGAATACGGTATAGTCAGAAGCAACGTAAGCACATAGTGTAGCATATGATAGAGCAATACCGATGGCGTTTTCATATATATCTCAGGAATATTTTTCACAAATGCTATGGCTGTTATCGTTTGCTGTTCTCGTCGACGCCTTCAACAACTGGTACATGTAGAATTGTCAGTCGAGCTTTCGGTCGATGCTGCTGCTTGAATAGCTTTCTCTCAGTCGTGATTTTTTCTTCCTGCTTCGCAGTCTTTTTCAGCACAAATTTGACATACTGTTGGTTTCCGTGTTGATCTCTTGCTTGCTGTATGATCTTAATGCGTAATCGAAGAGGCAAAGTGTTCATTTTACTTTGGCACATATAACCCAGATGTTATGGGGTAACTTCCACGAATGAGAGCTTCCCAATTCCGCCGTTGAATATTGCATTTCATTATTCGTTTTACTATTTCGTCAGAGGGAAGGGCATGCTTTCATACCTTGTGAATTCTCGATTAGACTTAGGTATCCTTCAACCAAATTACGTCCTGTAAATACTTCAAGTTTTCAGTTTTTTTCTTGAACGTCTACTCCGAAACTTTCATCCAGTGATCTGAGATAGGAGACTGATGACATTCAGGACATTTTCGTCTTAAATCTTCATGTCGACTGTTCTCTGAGTCATATTGTGAATGAAGGAATTCGCACTTCAGTTCTTACGGTCATGTTTTGTTCTTGATATTTCTTGTCTTTACGATGTCTAATGCTGTAAGCTTTTTCTGACTCGATGATTATGATGTCATAAACATAGCCTTGGTCTTTATTCACGATCCTTTATCTCGTTGCAGTGTAAATCTGAAAAGAAACAATTCAATGGTTTTCTTCAAGGTTGTCTTTTTTCAGATGGATTACCAACGAGAACTGAAACTGCTGCAGAACACAGTACAGGAATTCACCGTGTCTCTGTTATGCGACGTGGACAATGCCGTGAAAAAAGTATTTGTCCAAGAGTCTTTGACACGTCTGGCCGTTTTCTTTGGAAAACAAAAGAGTAAGCAACGTGCGGTTTTAATGTGACTTGTTCTTTCAGGGTCCCCGTCGACAACGTGCTACAACATAACTACTACCTTAACTTTATGTTTGTTTTCAACACCGGGTATTCATTTCAAGTCTCATGAGCAACTGCTTCGGAATACCTTCCAGTGGGTCCGGTGCCATCTTCTATATTATCCAGCCATCTGAATCACAGTCTGTACCTGGCTATCTTCCTTGTGGTTTTACCAAGAGAGTCACCATTGAGAGTGGGATCGTGGCATCTGCCTGTGCCATCGCCATTACATGACCAAACCATCATAGTCATGTTCTTCTGACCTGAAGAGAAAGCGATCCACAGGCGAAAATATCTCAATTTGTGCTATTTTTGACTTGTCTCGCTAGTAATCCTTCGAAGACAGATATTTAGCACGTTTCCTTTGCTTTTTTCGTCAGGGCAGATGCGGTACTCGCGTATGCTATTATGTATCTGTTTCTTCATCTTGTGTACTGTCAGTCATGAATATTATCCCCAAATCATTAAACTTCACCCCTTCCAGCTGCACTTCACTTTTCAGTGTAACACAGATGGACTTTCTGTGAGATAACTGTATCTTTGGTTTTGTTCAGACCGATTTTTATGCGTTTTCATTGCGTATAGCAGCTAAACGATCAAGAATAAATGACTTAGTTGAATTCCTCCAGCTATTCGGTTTGCCGTTTTCAGTCTTAGTTTGAGTTATCTGATCGATAAAACTTTTCAGCAGGAGAGGAGTCAATATGCCCTCATCGTTGGAGACAAACACGGATCTTTACTGCCGTTTTACTGCGACTCATTTGAATTTAGATGTTGAACAGTTATACAAGATTTGGATAGCCCCAGTAACTAGCCATTTACCATATTGCTACGGTATTCTCCACAGTTTCGATCGGGATACTCTATAGTAAGCTTTGTCCTATTAGCAGAGCAGTTGCTAACCCCGTTCCACTTTTCCAACATTCGTGATATATCTGGGAGAGAGTAAAGATGTGATTTGCTGTGCATTGCTCTTGCAGAACCCATCTTCGTCTCTTTCATGGGATTATTCATAGATTGAACTTGGGTTAAACAGAGAAGCCTCTACAGTTACAGCAATCTTCAAATCCCTTTCCAG